ATCCTTACCATTTCTCTTATCCTTTCTTTGATCTCTAAAATTATACCATTCTAATTCTAAGAATTAATGGTCCAGCTACAGAGAATATCAGATTTGTATTTGTTTTTATAATATATATATATTGTGAGGGGCCGGCCCTGTGGCATAGTGGTTAAGTTCTCGTACTCTGCTTCTACGGCCCGGGGTTCACAGGATCGGATCCCAGGCGCGGACATACACACTGCTTATCAAGCCGTGCTGTGGCGGCGTCCCACATATAAAGTAGAGGAAGATGGGCACAGATGTTAGCCCAGGGCCAATCTTCCTCACAAAAAGAAAATAATAAAAATAAGTAAATAAAATATATATATTGTGTATTTAAATAGACTATTAGCCAAAATATGAAACAGGGAAGAATAATTAGAAAAATCATGTATCAGCAGCTATCCTGGTTATACTTCTGTTGTCAGGCAAGGCTAGTCATTTATTTTAATTAACATTTTCTGCATTGATTAAAATAGTTCCCTTGAATCAAAGAATATGTTCCAATTTCACAAATATATTTCAATTTCATAGCCTCACATTTAATAATAGATAGCAGGACTCTATTTAAAGTTCTCTTTGAGTAATCAAAATACAAATAACAGACATGATAGTCGATATAGGGTAGGGGTCTGCATGTGTGCTCTGACTGAACTCTTTTTTTTCAATATTTTAGGTAAGTTCTTTTTCATAATAGAAATTACTTCTTGTTATAAACAATCTTAAAAATATAAAATTTCAAAAGACAAAAACCAACAAATGAGAAAAATATCACTTTTACTTCCAATACTCAGACTAGCACTATTGGCATATTGGGGTATTTTTTTATTGAGGTATAATAGACATATAACATTTATTAGTTTCAGATGTACACATAATGATGCAATATTTGTATGTGTTGCAAAATGAGCACTAGACACTAAGTCTAGTTAACAGCCATCACCATACGTAGTTACAAATTTTTTTTCTTGGGATGAGAACTTTTAAGATCTATTGTCTTAGCAACTTTCAGTTAGTAACACAGTATTATTAACTGTAGTCACCATGCTGTACATTGCATCCCATGACTTATTTTATGACTGGAAGCTTGTTCCCTTTGACCCCCTTCATCCATTTCTCCCACCCCCAACACCCCCTCATCTGGTAACCACCAGAGGTTGGGTCTCTGTATCTGTGAGCTTGTTTGCTTGTTTGTTTGTTTTTTACATTCCACATAGAAGTGAGATCATACGGTATTTGTCTTATTTCGTGTAGCATGATGCTCTCAGGGTCCATCTCTGTTGTCGCAAATGGCAGGATTTCCTTCTTTTTTGTGGCTGAGCAATATTCCATTGTATATATATATACACCACATCTTCTTTATCCATTCATCCATAGATGGACACTTAGGTTGCTTCCATATCTTGGCTATTGTAAGTAATGCTGCAATGAACATGGAGGTGCATATATCTTTTCAAATTAGTGTTTTTGTTTTCTTTGGATAAATACCCAGAAGTAGAATTGCTGGATCATATAATAGTTCTATTTTTAATTTTTTGAGGAGCCTCCATACTGTTTTCCATGGTGGCTGCACTGGTTTACATTCCCACCAACAGTGCACAAGGGTTCTCTTTTCTCTACATCCTCGCCAACACATTTCTTTTTTCTTTTTTTTGATGATGGCCATTGTGATCTGAGGTGTATCTCATTGTGGTTTTTATTTGCATTTCCCTGTTGATTAGTGATGTTAAGCACTTTTTCAGGTATCTGTTGGCCATCTGTGTGTCATCTTTGAAAAAATGTCAATCCAGATCTTCTGCCCATTCAATCAGATTGTTTTTTTCGCCATTGAGCTGTATGAGTTCTCTATGTATTTTGGATATTAAACCCTTATCAGATATATGATTTGCTAATATTTTCTCCCATTCCGTAGCTGGCCTTTTCATTTTGTTGATGGTTTCCTTTGCTGTGCAGGAACTTTCTAGTTTGATGTAGTCCCACTTGTTTATTTTTGCTTTGGGTGCCAAATCCAAAAAATAAGCGCCAAGTCCAATGTCAAGGAGCATACTGCTATATTTTCTTCTAGGAGTTTTATGGTTTCAGGTCTTACACTCAAGTCTTTAATCCATCTTGAGTTAATTTTGTGTACAGTGTAGTGTAAGATAGTGGTCCAGTTCCATTCTTTTGCATGTGGCTGTCCAGTTTTCCCAGCACCTTTTATTGAAGAGACTGTCTTTTCCCCATTGTATGTTCTTGGCCCCTTTGTCGTAAATTAATTGACCATATATGCATGGGGGGTGTATTTCTTATCACTCTTTTTTCTAGTCCATTTGTTTGTTCATTTGTTTTTCTTGTACATAATTGATATCATATTGATTATTTTCCACTACTTATTTCACATCAACTGTAAAACATACCGGGGAGTGGGTAGGGTACCTTCTCTTGACACATCAGTGGGATGCTCTCAGCAATCCATCCTGGTAAGTGTGAGGAAGGAGAATTAGCTCAATAATTTGGCAGAGTTACAGAGTAGAACTCACAGAGTTGTGAGAACTAATAGCTGCTGAGCATTTCAGGTCCCCAAATTCCTTGGTGCTTTCCCCAGTGAGTTGCAGTGAAGGTGTGCTGATCTTCCACTGCTAAATTAAACAGTTCCTGGAAACCCAGTGCCTAAAATACGAATGAGCCATCTCACGCTTTGTAGGTTGTTGGATGTGTAATGCTTTGGGTCGCTTTTTCAAAATATGTGATCTCGTCCCTTCCTTTCTCTTCAACCTCATCCCCTGCCGCTTTCTCCATTTCCCAGCATCCTCCAGACACCGGGAACTCCTTTCTCTAAATGTTCTGAGCACTTTGTAGTTCTTGCCTGAAACACTCTTCCTCCACCCCAACACTTTGCTTTTTGCTTTGAAGGTTCCACCTTCTTCCCATGCCCTCTCAGTCTACATGGTGCTTCTTCAGAGGGGCCCTCCTTGATCTCCCCCTGTGCCAGGAAACCTTGGGATGATCCTCCCCTCCACACCAAGACTCTGTTTATCATTTGACCACCCTTCGTCTGGAAAAAAGGGGGCTGACAAACTGCCATAATGCCCCCTGAAATATGGTACTGTAAGCTTTGAGCTATTCCAGTCCAGAGATAATTTGCCTAAGTTACAGCAAGAGAAGGGAACAAAAAAATGATTGTTCTAGAGTTTTTTTTTTTTTTTTTAACTTTCTCTATGTCATGAGAAATGAAGCACGCTTGCCTACAACTTTATAGTATTTCTAGTAAGAGGCAGTCTCCCTCTCAGAGCCCCACATGAGGGAAGGAAAGCTGTGATTGGATGGCATGGCTGTCAGTCATTGGGTGTGGAGGAGGGCGCAGGTGCCGCACCCCCAGTGCACCTGCGATGAGGTCGTGCCCTGGATGCTGTCTGTTGAGCATCTTCTCTCCTTCCATCCTTCTCAGGAGGGGTACAGGTGAGTGTAGGGGAAGGGAAGGGGCTTCACTGTTTGGGCTTTTGAAACAAAAAGGAAAAAACTTCAAAAGCAGTAAGCTAAAAAAATCAGTGCAAATATTATGGAATTGTTATTTAATTCAAAAAATTCTTGCTAAAAATAATAGAAACATTGTTGAGAAAGAACTGTTTCGACTGATGCCTGTTCCTTGGTGTTCTACAGCGTTTACTCCCTGCCTTATAAAAATAGAGCTAATTAATGTAAGTTCTGGCAAAGAAAAGGGAGTATTCTCTGGTTTTTGGCCAAGAATTCCCCTCCCCGCTGTCCCCAGTGCCCCCCACCCCCCAGTTACTCTCCATGACGTCACCTGGTGATGTTTCCCTCCTGGCCTCGTCGGAAGTTAGAATTGTCGTGTTGTCCGTATTGAAAGTTTGCTCTCCCGTGGGATGCAGGCTTCCTGAGGGCCAGGCCCTGTGGGGCGTGTCCACCCCTCTCACCCCGGCTCCTGGCCTCTTCTGGGGCTGGGCACGTGGGTGGCAATCAAATATACAGGGAAAGAATAACTAATGAGTTAAATGAATCCATTTTTTAAGTGGATTCTTGAGCTCTGTCCCACTTGTCTCATTTGCAGAAAAAGACTGACGCAGTACATGGGTTTCTGACGAGATCTTCACGTTTGTTCAGGGAACACTCACTGAGTGCCTGTCACCAGGTCAAGCCCTGGAAATGCCACCTGAATAAGACATGACCGATGCCCCCCCGAGACCTCAGAGACAGCAGAGGGACAGACACGCGTGTGTGTGAATGGCTGCAGTTCTTTATGAAAGAGTGTCATAGAGGTTGTAAACGTGCGCCGTCCGAGTGCAGGGGGCAGAATTTAATTCACCTGGGGCCTGAACGTTTTCACCCAGCAGTGATCTTTATGCTGGGCCCTGAACGCAGAGGGACATTTGCCAGGTTGATTAGCAGGAAGGAGAGCATCCCGGGCTGGGACAGTCTGGGCCGTGAGAATGAGGCCACGATTGGACAGGCTGCGTGTTTGGGGGTGGGTTGTGAGTGCAAAGGAGCCAGGGAGCCTGCGGAAGCGGGGGAGGGCGTGGTAGGAAATACAGAGAAAGTGCCCAGGGGCAGAGCTCGCTGGAGAGGTCAGGATGCTGTGGTTAGACCGCTAACCATTCCCTGCGGTTGCAGCCTTTTTCCATTAAAACAGCCTTAATTTGAGTTCATCAAGTACCTTTCCTAGATGCGAATTTTAGAATTTCATAGAGATGAGTATTTTGCTAGAAATTGGTAGCTCTTTTAAAAGGTATTTTCCAGATGAAGCCCTTTTAGTGTATTTTTATGTTGAATTTTAGAAACTTCCAAAAACCATTTTTTAAAATTCTACCCAGATAAATTTTAAAGTCACCGCAGAAAAAACTTCATGTGAAATGTAATTAATATCTTGGATTCTTCCAGATGAGTGAAATGCCAAGGTCTTTCCCCCCACCCCGTTGTTAAAGGTAATAATGCCTGTTTATCAATACCTCATCCAAACAGAACAAAACCTCTCTCTCCTGCAGTTCCGCGGCAGCCTTCAAATGACTTGTTTGAAATATTTGAAATTGAAAGAGGAGTCAGTGCAGATGATGAAGCAAAGGATGATCCAGGTAGATTCTTAGATTCTTGGTACCATTATAATGACATTTTATTGTTTCCCTCCATTTCATGAAGAGAACTTTTAAATTGTAGATTGGTTACATCTGGGAAAATTATACATATTTTTTTACAACTTGGTTTCCTTTATAGTTCAATCAGTTGAGCAAAAATAATTATGAATCATCATCATCTTGTTGAAAAATAAAGCATTTAAACTATGAGGAGGAAATCATAATTTATAAGTGATGATGTAACAAGGTCATGATTTGGCAACACATGTGTGTTCTATTTTTACAGCTGAGCACACGCGCAGTTGTGCTGAGAAGGGATTCGTGTGGTTTCCTTTTGAGCTCATGGAGAGAAGTTCTGGGGGGGTTGTTAAATGAGGATGGAACACTTGGTGCATAGAGACCCTGGTTCACACGTTCGTTTCTGTTGTTGGTTGTGGTCTCCTCATCTTTCTGGTCCTTGCCTTGCAGGTGTTCTGATACACAGCTGTAATTTTGACCATGGGCTCTGTGGATGGATGAGGGAGAAGGACCGTGACGTGCACTGGGAACCTGTGAGGGATCCAGCAGGTAAACCGGTCATCCAGCTACCCGAGGGCCTCGTTCTGCCCATCAAGTAATTGTAACACAGCTGTGTGTGTACTTAACGAGGAGGGTAAAGAAAGATCTCGTCCAGCATTTATATTCCATTTTTTAAAGTGAACTGAATTTGTTATCAACTAGAATTATATTATGGGAAGACGAATGGTTCATTAAAAGGCCAGCTAATTTCTCTCAAAAAGCTTGGTAAATAAAACGTTTAGACTCATTCTAACACGTAATTTTCAAGTTATTTGTCATGCCCCATTCCCAGGCATAAAAGGAACAATATAGTTGTCCATCAGCCATGGTGGTGTCCCTGGTTGTTTTCTCAATTATGTCCTCTTTTTTTTTTTTTTTTTTAAGATTTGAGGTGTAGAAGGAGACAGTGAAATTTCTGTGAAGTTGTGAATACCTCTCTGAAAAAACTTTCAATCTAACTTGGATGCTGGAGAAATTAGTTATAAATTACCACGACTTATGCCACAGAAGACTGTTGTTAGAGAGGTGGATTTAGACATAGTCCCTTGGAAAATTAACAGACTTTTAACTTGCACGCTTCCTATTAATCTAAAGTGTTAGTGCTTATAAGATGTTTTGTCGTCTTGTGTCAGGAAGCAAAGCTACACGTTGTTGGTTTTCCCCTCTCCTCAGTAATTAAATCTTTATGGGTGAGGCCAACGTAATGGGAGGGTGAGGAGTTTGCTTTCTTTTTTTGCTTTTTCTGCTTGTGATTCCAGACTTAAGAATGAAAGATATAAGATGTGGGAAAAAAAGTATGTTATTTGATTTAAAAGCCTAGTTCTTAAGTACTATCCCAGATATATAGATGGAACACAGAACTCACAAAAGTTAGCCCGAGAGAGGATGTGCCTGTTAAACCAGTTCTTCTCGAATGCCCATGTGCCACAGATCAGCTGGGGCCTGGTTACCATGCAGATTTTGGTGCATTTCTCACAGTTCCTTGGGGAAACCTACAGTCCTTGATGCACATTTTGGGTAGCAAGGTATTAAAGAATTAGTCCAAAAATAAATTCATTAGATCCTATAAGATTGAAATATTAGAGATATTTAAAAAGGAAAATTTGAGGTAAGCTTTTAAAAATATGAATATTCAATAAATTCAAATGGAGTTTTGGGTTTCTTTTAGCTACATAATAATTTTTAATGCAAACATGCTGTACAGTCCCTCTCATTCCTGTGTTCAGTCTGTCACTCACTGAAGGTTAACCCTGAGCAAGACGACATTATTATTAATGTCACAGCTACCTGTGAATAAGAGAGAAGCCAAGATGGTGTAATACCTGCTGTAGTCCTGACTCACTTCTCATCTCATCATTAATTTTATTTAATCCTCTTAGCCACCCTGTGAAGCAGGTATTATTTTTTTCCACAAAGGATGTACCAAGGCCCAGAAGATTACATACCCTTCCTAAGGCCAGGAGCTACAGAACGGCCTCCTGTCCAGGCCTCTCTGTGTGTCTGCCCATGCAGCCTCTCAGGCGTCCAGTGCCCAGGACATCTGCAGCGTTGTTCTGGGGTCCCCACTAACCCACAGTGTGGCCTCCGTCTCTTGTGGTGGTGTGCGTGATCCCATTAGCAGATCTCAGGCCTCGGGTCTCCGATCTGGCTGACCGCTGACCTGACGTAGTTTGGTGCAGAAGGAAGTATTTTTATAGCCATGTATGATAGAATAGTGAATAATGTTCGTGGTCATAATGGATAACTCTTTCAAGTAAGGTGCGTTGGAGAGAGCAATTCATGCTAAACTCAGGAAGTCATTACACTTCTGTATAGACAGTCCAGGTAAAAGACTTGATTTTTAGAATTTAAATTTTCTATTTTAGAACCAATTTAGTACTTTCAACTTTTTATTATTCATCACATATGTAAATGATTAAATTTTTCTGACCCAAATTCCACTTAGCCTCTGATAGAAAAATGAGAAGAGGATTGGAAATTAGAATGGTAGACAAAAAAGTTTGAAATGGTCATTTGGCTGTGATAGTACAGAACAAACTGAAAGAAGTGGCTGCTGCCTGGGTGACTGGATAACTCCTGGTGATTGGTCTGGCCCCTGGAGGATGCTCTTCTGGGGTTGCTCTGGCTGTTTACCAACAACTGGGATGAATTGAATGTTGAACTTGGATATTGAAGGCATACTAACCAAACTGTGGATGACTCAGAGCCAGAGGAGGAAGTGACTGTGTGTGCTGACACAGCCAGCGTCCAAAGATTAGCTCAATGGTCACACAATGGGGACGAGTACAAGGTATGGCTCATAGTCTGGAAACCAACTGCACAGCTATGGGAGGGGAGACGTGGCTTAGCAGGAAAAGACTTCAGAGTGTTAGTGGGTAATGAAATCAGTGAGTGAACCCTGTGTCATGGCTGCCAAAAAGTTGGGTCATTTCCATAGAAATATGGTATTTTTTTCCAGAATGGAAAATACACTTTGATGGGTTCTTTCTAGTTTGAGAAGAGTAGAGATAATTGTAGGTCGCTCAGGAGAGAATGACCTGGATGGAAAGGTACTTCCACAGATGGAGAAGCCAGAGTGTTGAGCCTGGAGAGGAAATAATGGAGCAGACTGCTTTTCAGATACTTGACCAACAGCATCTGTCACAGTTGTTCTTTTTTTCTTTTTTTTTTTTTTGTGAGGAAGATCAGCCCTGAGCTAACATCCGTGCTAATGCTCCTCCTCTTGCTGAGGAAGACCAGCTCTGAGCTAACATCTATTGCCAATCCTCCTCCTTTTTTTTCCCCAAAGCCCCAGTAGATAGTTGTATGTCATAGTTGCATATCCTTCTAGTTGCTGTATGTGGGTCGCGGCCTCAGCATGGCCGGAGTAGCAGTGCGTTGGTGCGCGCCCGGGATCCGAACCTGGGCCGCCAGTAGCGGAGCGCACGCACTTAACCTGCTAAGCCACGGGCCGGCCCTGTCACAGTTGTTCTGTGCCCACAGGGGATGAGAAGTTGGATCAGTAGGTGAAACTACAGGGAGATGGATTTTTGTTCACTCTCAGAAGGAATTCCCAACAGTCAGAGATATCTAAGAAGAGATCAGGCTGATGTGGAAGTAGGGAGCTCTCTGTCGGTGGAGGCGTTTGGCTGGGTGTCGTCTGGCCCGACGTTGTTTTGAGCAGTGGATAAGGGTGGGATTAGAAAACCTCTTACACGGGCTCTGAGAGCCTCTGACTCAGAATGGAATGTGCGGGGTAATCCCAAGGAGATCAGTGAGTGGCAGGTTCTAGCTGGGAAAATGGCTGGGAAGACCAAAGGATGGCAGAGGGTTGGAACAAGGGGTAGGAATGCCCGTTGTCCATCAAGTGGGGCTCTTTAAAATATGCTGGGGAATCCTAGCCCCATATTGATGGGAAAAGAGCAGTGAAGCTCACTTTCTCAGGCCTGTTTTTCTTCTAGGAAGTTTAGGTGGGGCTGTGTGTGTGCATCACGTGCTGAGGCCAGAGAAGAGTATAAGCAATTTAATAAATGTCTGCATATTATCTAGTTACTAAGCTAATTGTTTACTTGTTTCTATCTAGATTATACTGTTTGTAAAGGAACATGTTTGGATTTCCAGTTATGACTGATTTTAATGTTGTGCATTTCTTATCCAAGATCCAGATTTGCAAATATTCTTATTTGCTAATATCTCTAAGAAAACCCTCAGTTAAATAACCTTACAACCTTGAGAAACAGCTGCAAAATAAGTGCTTATGCTGGCTGCTAGCTGCCCTTGCTGGTGCTCATTCGGGTTTATCACATTCAGTCTTGAACTTAATTGTGAGATAGTGAGATTAACGCATTCCTCTAAGGAATGGAAAATCGTGCTGCCAACAGACAGACGTGGTAATGCGCTGAGGCGTGTAGCTGTGGCCCTGAGTTCACACCCTTTCCCTGTAGATGCCCATGCTGGACCTGGGGCCCTCCTCCTGGAACCCTGATCTCTGGGGATCCAGGGTTAAAGGCAACTGACCCAGTGTCTGTCTGCTACTGATGGCTTCAGGGAATTCACATAAATACATAACGAGTATGCCAGCGTGTACATACAAGTACGTTTAATGCAGCATTACAAACATTGTTTTGAAATACACATAAATGGAAAAGTAAATCAACAGTGAAAATAAAAGCTCCCCCTAGCTGGGGCTCCCAGTCGCCTTCCCCAGTTTCTCGGTTACCTTTCCAGAAATACGTTCTGCACAGCAGCACCCTCTCCTGTACCGTGCTTTAGTCACTTAACAGTATTATCTCAGGAGTCAACATGAAGAACAAGGACTTTGAAGCCCGAGTGCCTGGGTCACTTACTTGCTTTGACCTTGAGCTTGTTACTTGAATGGCAATAATCAATAGTATCTACTAAACGTACGTAAAGCCCCGAGTTACCATTAAAATAGTGTTTGCCATTGCTGTTGGAGACTGTCCTCTGTCAGGACACACACGACACCCTCGTTCTTATGCACGGCTCTCCCTCCATCCCTCCTTGACATATGACATATATGATGTCATTTCATATATGTTTGAATATATCTGTAGGATAAATTCCTAGAGGTATAATTGCTGGGTCAAAGGAAATTTGCATTTTAAATTTTGATAGCTTTTACTAAATTGCCCTTCATAAGGGTTGAAGCAATTTATGATCCCACTAACAATATTTAAGAACCATCCCCAACATAGATCTTATTAAACTATTTTCTCTTTGCCACGCTTACAGATGAAGAGGCATCTCATTTTAATTAGCATTTCTTTTACTGTGAAAAGTTGACCATCTTTTCATATATTTAACTTATTTTTTCTCTGATGCCTTTTATTTTTCTTTTGTGTTTTTATTATTGATTTGTAAAAGTTATTTATGTAAATAGGAAACTTGGCCCTTTTTCATGTGTTGCAAATATTTTTAAATTTTTTTGCTTGTCTTACTATTTTCCGGTATTTTTATCTTAAAAAAAAGTGAAAATTTGGAAACAACTTAAATATTCTTCAATAAGAAATTGGCTAAATTATTAATGCATACTTTCATCTGTGAAAAATATCTGTATTTGTTGACATAGAAAAATGGCTATGATATAGTTAATGAAAAAAGCAAGTTATAACACTGCAAAAAATGTTCATATTCATGTGCATTTGTGTGCATGCATTTACATAGGAAAAGTTCAGAAATCAGAATGTTAGTAGTTATCTCTGGGTTTGGAGATTATGGTTTATTTAAACTCTTTATGCTTTTCTATTTTATCTTTTTTCTCCTCTGGGCATGCACTACTTCTTTTTTTTTTTTTTTTTTTTTTAAAGAATTATTTCTTTTTTTTTTTAATTTTATTTATTTATTTATTTTTTTTCCCCAAAGCCCCAGTAGATAGTTGTATGTCATGGTTGCACATCCTTCTAGTTGCTGTATGTGGGACACGGCCTCAGCATGGCCGGAGAAGCGGTGCGTCAGTGCGCGCCCGGGATCCGAACCCGGGTCGCCAGCGGCAGAGCGCACGCACTTAACCGCTAAGCCACAGGGCCGGCCCGCACTACTTCTTTTATTAGAAAAAAATTAAGCTATTTGCATTCAAGGGGTAAATACCAGCAAACCATCATTATCTTAGTTCTACCTGGCCTGGTTTCTCAGCTAGGCTAAAAATTATAAATAAAATCACTGCAAAATTCCCCTCATTTCCTTTGACCCCACAGTTAACAGGTAAAGCAATGGATATTTTGTTATTCTGTTGGAAACTGAAATCATAAAGACACAAACCAGTATAGAATTAAAAATAAGTCACTTAAAATGTTACCACCTAACTTTCTGGTGAGTTTTGCAGCATCTATTATTTATCGAAAAAAACTTTAGACATTGTGATGCTTGAAAATGGAACCATGAAAATATTTAATGTAATTTTGTATTTAAGCCAGTATTTTGGAACCAGAAGTGAAATTTTTGTTTTATTTGTTTGTTTGTTTATTTATTTATTTATTTATTTTGTGAGGAAGATCAGCCCTGAGCTAATATCCGATGCCAATCCTCCTCTTTTTTGCTGAGGAAGCTTGGCCCTGGGCCAACACCTGTGCCCGTCTTCCTCTGCTGTATATGTGGGACGCTGCCGCAGCGTGGCTCTATAAGCGATGCACAGGTACATGCCCGGCGTCAGAACCTGCGAACCCCAGGCTGCTGAGGCAGAGCCCTCGAACCTCACCACTACGCCACCGGGCCAGCCCCCCAATTTTTATTTAATAGGTCATTATTTGGGTGCTAGATCAATTTTTCCCTAATTACTGTTCCAACCTTGTAACATTTTCTTTTATTAAAAAGGGAAAGAATTCTTCATGTAAAAAAACAACGGTGGAACCCCTGGTGCGCACAGAGCAGTCCCCCAGAGGGAGGGCAGTCGCAGCCTCCTCCCTGAGTTTGCGTTGAGAGCTGAGCTCCCTGCACTGGGATAATTGGACTGGCTGGAGGCCTTGGTTCGTTGCGTTGTCTTGTTTGCTGGGAGCGTCTGGCAGAGTGTTCTTAGTTACATTCCACAGGGCTTAATCCTTGTTTTCTTGAAACTTGCAGGTTAACTGTAACAACCTTATATCTTAGTCTTAACCAAAATACCTGTGATGATTCAAAAGCTGACTTACCAGGAGACATTTAAAATCCATCCAGATATTTTGGCCCAAAACATTGTTTTGATTAATTGGTGGGGTGGCGGTGAGGGCAGAAGGAGGATAAGAAATATTGTGTGTATGTGTTTGTTGAGTCAAATACGTGACTCAAGGACCTATTTTCCTGCAGTTTTTTGCTGTATTCTTAGAACATCATTTATTCAACAAACAGCATTAAACTCCTACCATGTGCTAGAACGTAATGGGGTGGTTTGGGAGAGAAACGAGTAAACCAGTGAATCCAGTCTGAGAGCAGCAGGTGCAGAATAGGAGTCAGGCAGTTCTGAAATGAAACCGTTATTCTGCCACTTACTGGCCAGGTGACACCTTGGGTGACTTCAGCTCTCCAGGCCTCAGCTTCTGCATCTGCAAAACAAGCCTAACCGGTGTTCACTTCGAGGGCTTGGTAGCAGGGTTACATGAGATGCTCCCCGGAGGGCACTGGCCACAGAGCCTGGCACGTCGTAAGTGCACAGAAAGCACCTGTTTGGTCCTATGACACTTCAGCGGGGCCTTGGGTAGAGAAATCCCTTGAAGAATAGGGGGACATCCCAAACCTTATCATGTCTTATACGGATTAAGCATAAACAAGAAATGATGGTTTACCTTTTCACTGAAAAATAAGTGGGATTCCTCCCCAAACAGATGCGTGTGTTCAGCATTCCAACCACATTTTTCCTATGGACACAGCAGTTGGCGCACAGCGTGTTTTCAGTTGGCTGCGGTTCGGCAGCCTGAGGGGGTGTCGTGGGTACATGGATTGAGTGTCAGAATACTGCTCACAACTCTCCCTCTGGAGAGCCAGCGTGCTCCACTCCACTTCTGCTGAAACCGTTTTTCCTTAATTGCAGTTCCTCTAACAGGGGGCGCAAGCTGCAGCCCGAGAGATCTGAGGACATCATCAAAGTGACCTGTCCAAAGCGAAAGCTTTTATTAATGTTTTGTGTTCATGTATATGTAATAGAAAATTTATATCTTATTATATATCATGTTATGGATTTAATACAAAAATGTTTTAAACTACTACCTCCAAGTAAAGTTGATGCTCCAGGAAGACGTGGAGCATTTCCAGAATGCCTCTGCATCTTCCTGAGGTGACGTGTACTCCAGTGTGAGAGGCAGAGCAAACTGACTTTTTTAAAAGGACTCTTCTCTCTTTAGAGATTTTAAAAAGAAGTAGAGAGAGGAAAGAGACAAATCTAGTGCCCTTTAAATCACCAGCTGCTCTACTGCCCAGAGGTTAATTATCCACGTAGAAAATTCTCCCTGGCCACTTAGAGTCAACCACCCAACCCGCAGGCAGCTTGACATCATCATCGTGAATTGGTGAGGGTCAGGAGGTGGTGGATGTGTGTGTGTGCACCTGCGTCTGAGCGTATTCCACTGGAATTATGCAGTGTCGGGATTACTGATTGTTGTATGTTGTTGGCACAACATGTACCCTCCATGAACAGAGTGAGTGTTTTCTGTAAACAAAAACTGTAGAACTTAAGACAAGCGTAGAAATAAGTCATGTTTTTCTCCTTCAAAAGACTGGAATTCTTCACAAATGACTGTCACAGTTTGGGATTTCTTAGAACAAAAAAAGTGGAACTCCTGTCCGTGCTGTTTGTGCTCGAAAGGGGCGTCGGCACGGACACACATGGCCTCCTTTCCCATTCCAGGTGGGCAGTATCTGAGAGTCTCGGAAGCCGAAGGCCCAGGGGGCAGAGCCGCCCGCTTGGTGCTCCCGCTCGGCGCCCGCGTGCACTCAGGGCACCTGTGCCTGTCGTTCAGGCACAGGGTGGCGGGGCTGCGCGCCGGCGCGCTCCAGGTGTTGGTGAGGAAACACGGCGCCCACGGCGCGGCCCTGTGGGGAAGGAATGGTGGCCACGGCTGGAGGCAGACGCAGATCACCTTGCGAGGGGCTGACGTCAAGAGTGTAAGTAGAACCCCCAAGAGGCAGAACCTGGACGTTCTCCTTTCACAGGGGCTTGGGTCTGACTGCAAAGGCCCATCTCTTCATTAATCCAGGCAGGAGGGTTTGTGTGTCCTCTGGGCATGATGCCTCTGCTCACAGCCTCTTTCTAGAATCCCTTTTTGCTTCTTCATACCTTCCTCATTGCAACCTCTGACCACCACCACTCCCCCACCCTGGGGAAAATCCCCTATTTTTAATGAAAAAAATTAGGAATTGAAAAAATTTTTTAAGTTATTCAACAGAATCTTCAAAGGGCAGGGTGGCGAGTTGAACTGTACCTGCTTTTCCTTTTCCTTTAACTCCTTGTATTTCAAACTTTTACCAGCGTGAGTTACCCTAAAGTGTTTCTTTAAAGTCCAATTATTTTTCCTTTGCCTCTGAGATGATAGTTAAGCAGCCTTGGGTGGGAACCCACAACAATATACTTAGAAGGTACTGTTCCATTCAGGACAGGATATGGGAAAGCTTTGATTGAATATGCAAATTTTCTCTTTAGTTATCAAGTCTTAGGTAGCAATAAAATGGTCTATAACACCCACCAAAATAAGGAATGTATTTGGAGAAGGGTCTTCTTTAGGTGGATGCCTATAAAACTGTTGCTATTAAGAGATTCTGCATCTATGCCTATAGGTATGGTTTCTAGAAACTACTTTAAAAAACATAGACTCCATTAATACAGCTTTTATCAGAGTCTTAGATTTTGTTATACTCTTTGGATTTTTTTTCTTTAAATTTTTAATGTTTATATTGTTTGGAGAAACAAGACAATAAATCATTTCAAATAGTTTCAAGCATAGAAAGGCTTTTGTTTTTAAAGGAGCGAGGATGCTCTGCAGAAGATAAAATCAACAATCGTGAGTGTTTGGCCTTCACATAAGTAGAACAGCACCGTGGCTGGATTATAGTGTGTAGTTCTGTTCCGTTTTAGGCAACAGAGCTGTATCTACCCAGACAGGGAACTAGGAAGCATCTGAGATAGGTGCGTGGTTATGGTCTTTCAGATCGTGGGCTCTTCATTTCTGTACCTTCTGTCCCACCACACTCTTTACTTCCAAGCTTGGTAATCTTTGACAGAAGTGTCCACTTCATAAGCATTCCCAAATTGAAGGAGTCTATAGTTTAAATGGCGTCTTAAAGAGTAACTGATTCTGAGTATTGTGGTCTGATTAAGTTTACTGATGATTGAAGTTTCTACCAAAAGGCAAGCCTCAGGTGACAGTGGCAACCCTGTTTTAGTCTTTCCTTCTGTTAAGTAAGTTTACTATTTAGTTGTAGGGAAAGTTGGCCTTTATTTTGCTAAATGAGGGGCATTGAAAAGGGCAGAGGAGACTTGACTGGTGTGTGTGTTCTTTCCCTAGGTCATCTTCAAAGGTGAAAAAAGGCGTGGTCACACTGGGGAGATTGCACTGGATGATGTGAGCTTGAAAAAAGGCCACTGCTCTGAAGAACGGGAGCAACTCCACAACTAGCAATGGACTCCCACGTCCCTTCCTCCTCTTTTCCCATCCTCACCTCCTGTCCTCTCCTCCCTCTTATCAGGCCTAGGAGAAGAGTGGTCAGTGGGTCAGGAAAAGTCTGGTGGGTGACCTGCGTCTTGCTGGCCTGCTTTTGTGCAATCCCAATGAACAGTGACAGTCTCCTTGAAGTACAAGGGGCACCTGTAGACACATCCCACCATGTTTGAGTGTTACCTGCTGTCCTGTCTCTTTTAGGAAGGCCACGTAATGTGTGACCTATACCATCCTTCATCCTGGTTACGAGGTGTTCTTTGTAGCAAATTATGGGAGAAGTTTTCAAAAGAAATCTGTGCAAATGGCCATCCTATTATCTGTTCAGTGTTGTCCCCAAGTAGAACTGACTTCCCCTGATGTAGTTGTTGTGCGTGTGGAATTGGTTTCTCCTCTTCGCTTGTTAGTTCTGGCCTGACCTGAACTCTGACTTACTGCCATTCAGTTTGTAAAGAAGGGCGTGTCACATATCAAGATGCATTTATCCTTGTTATCTGTATTTTTCTTTTTAAGACAGTTGTGTAGAGTGGGCATGTAATCCCTCGTTAGTAGTAGTGTGTTTGTGTAAATGTGCTATTGATATTAAGTAGTTACATGTTTCTAATACTCACAGACTCTAGTTGCAAGGGAAAAGGCAGCTTGTGCTCTCGAGTTAAAACAACACGGAGTGAAATGTCGTCCAGTCCCATGACCTTGTGCTGGGGGCACCAGAAAACTGCAAGAGGTGTTAGGCTGTGGTGATGATGTGGAGGGATCAGTGAATTTTTTAATGGCCTTGATTTGATCGCTCCAAAGGATAGTCAACCATTCAGGTAGACAAGAAACTGCAGTTAACATGTAAAACCCTCACTGTTTCAGGTTACACTTTACAACCAACAGCTTTTACCGTGACAACATGGCTCCCTCTGGTAAGCTGTAGGCCGCTTGGTAAACTTGCTGGTTGTTGTGGAGGAAAGATTGTGTTTGTGGAAACAGGGTGAGCGGGGCGTGAGGGAAGCTCCGTTGGAACAGACTGTCGTGCCAATTTTTAAATCAGCACAAATTTAGGCAGATCTAGCTCATGACTCGCGTGCTCCCATGTCAGGAGGGGAGGGGAAGCAAGTCCCGCGCTGCGAGGCCGTGGATGTGCTGGAGTGGGGCTCACACACACTAGAGCAGCAGGACGAGGTCGGGATGCTAAGATCCATGAACCCCCGACTATATCCCCTCCCTGCATATGTTACCTTCACGTTAAAACAGTACATAACTCGTAAAAGGCAACTTACCCCTGAGGCTTTTCTTCATTTCTGATTAAGTAATCAAAATATTTTCTGCTGTTTTTGCCAGGAATCACAAAGATGATTAAAGGGTTGGAAAAAAAGATCTATAATGACAAATTAAAGGAACTGGGAGTATTCAGCCTGGAGAAGAGAAGACTGAAGGGCAAACCATTGCTGGTTTTCAAGTGTGTGAAGGGTGGGTACAGAGAGCAGGGTGACCCGCTGTCCTCCGTATGCACTAAGAATAGAACCAGAGGAAACAGGCTGAGGCTGGAGGGTGAGGGAGCATTTCCTGGCAGAGACAGTTGTTCAATTAGAATCCTTTGTAAAAAAAGAAGTGTGACTCTGTGTCTTTTTTGTTTTCAGTCTTTTAAAAAATTAGATAAAAATTTGTCTATTTAAAATGGCTAAAGATATTCTTACCTGATAGATTAACAGATTACAGAGTCTCCCAAAAGATGTTTCAATCTTGTTACTATGTAATGCAAATCTCCAGACGAGGTAATTTAGAGTAGGCCAGGATCTACTGTGGGCATTTCTCGCTTGGCCTCCTAATGGAGAGGAGTCAAAGCGGAAAAGCCCGCTAAAGCTGAGCTCACTACGATGTCTCTCCCTTTATGGCAAACCTAGCAGTGTTAAAACAAAAGCAAAAAAAAAAAAAAAAACCAAAACCGATTTATTCTAAAAGAGAGTATGATGGACAGATCTTAGTATCTCAGTAATGTCCTAATGTGGTGGTGATTTTTTTTCTTGGTAAAGGTATCACCCTTTCACTTGCTCAGTGGATGTTTCAAATTTTTTAAGAGACCATAGCAAAGAACACAGTTGAGAGAGATTTTTTTACCTGGTGCATTCTCTCTGCAACATGTGTGACAACTCGGCTACTGATAAGAAGCCCATCCCATCACCACTGCCAGGCCCTGCCCTTCACCCAATCAGTATAATTCTGTTTCTCTTATCATTGGAATCTCCCGACTTCCACAAAATAGTGATGTTTTTTGAACAATAGGTACAGTAGAATATCTTTTGTCATTGGACTTGGTGGAGGCAGGGCCAGAGGGGGAATATAAATCAGTGAGCCTTTGGGTAGGTGTCGGAAAATATGGCCTTAGATCCATTTTTAATGATTCACTTCCTTTTTGGTCATATAACTGCACAACTAAAGAAGAAAGGGGAAAATAATTGAAAATTTCACTTTAGGTGCCAATAATACATTGCACTAAACTGATGGAAGAAGTTATCCAAAGTACTGTATAACATCTCGTTTATTATTTAATGTTTTCTAAAGTGAAAAATGTTAGTGGTTTTCCAAACAGCCAAATAAAAATAATTCTTTGTAAATAAAAACACTTAATATCAGTTGTCTGTTTCTTGTTGTTTTGAGGGTTTTTTTGTTTTTCTTTTAATTGGGAGAAGAATATTGAGGTAGTTTGATATTTCACAAAAGCCATCCATAGTAGAACCCCCTTTACTGCTTGGAAGACTGGGGACAGAGATATTGCTCACACTATTATGCTTTCTAGGTTATAAATTACGAGACACTTTTCATCAGCACGTGCAGGGAAAGAGATCAGAAGATCACAACACATGTACCTTAGCAAATTGCTTTAGTTATGTTTTCTTAAATCTCGTTCAGTTGTAAACATTTGCCTCAAATCCTTTTATGGAAAGACAGGGTAAACTATATATATGAATTATAAGTGAAGTCTTTTTTATAGTTGATTCTGTTAATTTATGACATTTTACTCATATTCCAATAACCTTTTCTGATGGAGAAAACAACTGTAAGGAAACAAAACTAATGAAATCACGCAGGATTATAGAGAATATGCCAATGGCTTCTTTCTTTCCAATAAGAACTCTTAGCAGCTGGGAGTCTCACATTTTGGGTAATACATAGTTTAGGCAAAACATAAAGAAAAACTATAGTTTCCTTATCTCAGAGATCCTTCCTAATCATCCCTAGGAGAACATAGAGAGCTGAGGTTTTCTGAGGATGGTAATTAAGAAGTGAAACCTCTTGTGAATCCTATTTGAGGTTGGGGGTTGGAGGAAGCAGATAAGTGTGGGGATCCAGCCTCCAGTTCACTGATTCACTTGATCAATTTTACGGCACTTACTCTCTGCGTGACTCGGCTACAATAGTAAACAGACTTCCCCTTGTGGGGTTTCAATGTGAAAGAAAAAGAGAAATTTGTTAAAGGCATATAAATAAATGCAAAATTGCCATTCTTAAAAGTGGTATGTGGTTCCTTGAAGGCTCTGCAAGTGGGGGTGGGATTCCAGGACCTCTGCCCACTGATTTTCACACTTTAATGTGCCTGGGAGTCACCTGGAGATCTTGTGAAAGTGCAGCTGCTACCTCAGTGGATCTGGGATGGGGCTTGAGATTCTGCATTTCTAACCAGCCCCCAGGTGATGCCCATGCTGCTGGTCCGGGGCCCCATATCAGTAACAAGGCCTTAATGACAATACACCGAGGGGCCTGGGACCTTTATCTCTGTTGGCATTCACTGTTGGAAGGCCTAGAAGTCCACAGGTGCAAGATCTACATTCACAAAAATTCACTATGTTCGAGTATATTTTTTCTTTCAAAAAACTTGTGGGTCTCAACTAATAGAGAATACCAATAAATAGACAAATATTATTTTAAAAGAACAAATTCTGGATATAATAAGTAAGTATGATCACTAAGGTATTGAACAGCAGATTTGAGCTGGCAGGAGGAAGAATCAGTCAACTTGAAGATAGGTCAGCTGAGATTATCCAGTTTGAGGAACAGAAAGATAAAGCTTCAGTAAGGATAAAACACTAGACTTAAGATCAACTAGGGAATAGAAGACTTTAAATTCCTAAAAACCAATCAGACCCAACATGCATCTATAGAACACTCCACCCACCAACAACACAAGAATACACATTCTTGAAGTGCATAGAGATGTTGATAGACCATAAGTTAGGCTACAAAACAAGTCTCAAATTTAAAAGGATTGAAATTATACAAAATATATTCTTCCATCACAATGGAATGAAATTAGAAATCAACAGAAGGAAATTGGGGAAATTCAAAAATATGTGGAAATTAAACAACATGCTCATAACCAATGGCTGAAAGAAGAAATTACAGTGAAATTAAAAGGTATTTTGAGATTAATAAAATGAAAACACAATATGCCAAAACTTATGGGATACAGCTAAAGTATTGGTTATAGGGAAATCTATATCTGTAAATGCCTATATTAAAAAAGAAGAAAGATCTCCAATAATCTAAACTTCAATCTTATAAAACTAGAAAATGAGCAGATTAAATCAAAGTAAGCAGAAGGGAGGAAATACAGTCATGTGCTGCTTAATGACAGGGATATGTTCTAAAAATGTGTCGTTAGGTGATTTCATTGTTGTGTGAACATCATAGACTATACTTACACAAACCTAGATGGTATAGCCTACTACACACCTAGGCTATATGGTACTAATCTTATGGGACCACTGTCGTATATGCAGCCCATTGTTGACTGAAACATCATTATGCAGCATAAGACTATAATAAAGATTACAGCAGAAAAAAATGAAATGACAAAATATACAGCAAAATCAATGAAACTGAAAGTTGGTTCTTGGAAAAGATGAACAAAAATTTACGAACATTTATCTAGACTGAACAAGAAAAAAAGACAATAAAATTAGCAATGAAAGAGGGGGCATCATCACTGACCTTACAGAAATACAAAGAATTATAAGGAAATACTATGAACAACTTTATACCAACAAATTAGATAACCTAGATGACGTGGGCAGAGTCTCAGAAAGACACAAACTATTGAAACTCAATCAAGAAGAAATAGAAAATCTGAATAGACCAATCGCAAGTAAATAGATTGAATTAATAATCAAAAACTTTCCACAACAGAGAGCCAATGCCCAGATAGCTGCAGTGGTGAAGTCTACCAAATGTTTAAGAATTAACACCAAGTCTTCATAAACACTCCTGTAATGTGGAGGAGGAAACATTTCCCAACTCATTCTATGAGACCAGTAAATAGAACAGTTTGGAGATTATTGACATCTTAACAATAGCAAATCTTTGCTTTCATGAACATGAGATGCAGCAAAGGCAGTGCTCAGAGGGACTTACAGCAGTAAACACCAGTAAATATTAGAAAGGAAGATCTCAAATAAATACCCTAAATTGATATTAAGGCACTAGAAAAACAAGTACAAACTAATCCCAAAGCTAACAGAAGGAAGAAAATAAAAATTCAACTGAAGATAAATGAACTAGAGAAAAGAAAAAACACAGAGAATCAACAAAATGAAAAATTGGTTCTTTGAAGGAATCAACAAAATTTAAAAATATTTAGCTAGACTAACAAGGAAAAAAAAAAAGAGA